ACACGCGTACATCGTGAAATGAATCTAAAGCCATGAGATTCCCTTTATCCTTTAATTATCTACCACTTGGAGCAGTGTAAACAGGAAATAAAGCAGATCAATCTAATCATAGAGAGGTAATGCCCGGCATGCACGCAGATATGCCCGGCACAAATAAGACGATACGCTATACTGAAACGAAGCATCGATTCTTGAAATAGTACAAATCAAATTATTACAAGGATGCGTTAATTGTTGATTTTTCATCGCGTGTTATACAAGACAAATGATTCTAATTATTAGAATCTTTAAATATTTTTGATAGATATAATTTTAATTTTGACAATTAATTATTTCAACTTTGCTAGCATTTCTTAAAAACGCATGATATATATACTTATATACTTGTATATTTTTATAATTATTTTTAAATGTTTATTTTTAAATTATTTTTATATATAGTAATTAAGTTACCTTGATATGATTATTAATTGAGTTAATATTTTGCTAACATTTTCTGAAAATCTTGTTGATCTTATAGGAAATCTTATTGATCTTATGGAAAATCTTTCAATATAAAACTATTTAATCATTTGATAAAAAGGGTATAGTTCACTAATTATATAACTAACCGTATCGTCTTTATGAACATCGATAGCCTTATTTTGATCAACGTTTTCGGTATTTTTTGTGGACATAATTCATTAGCTACGGTCAATATGTTAACAACCCTTTTGCCCTTTGATCCGTGGAATATCAATCGCTATGTAGCAATGGTTATCATATTCATTTTGTTTTGGAAAAACAAACCGGATTCAGCAATATTGCTGCCCGATATAAAAATAATTATTAAAAATTTAAAATGAAAATTATATACATATATAATTTTTATCTATTGTATATCTGATTATCTAATTAAAAATTTATTTAAAAAATTTCAGTGAATAATGTTATATAATTTAATATAATTGTTATATAATTTAAATTTTAATATCTTAATATGAACCCACTCTTATTTCTTCTTAGTTTTGTTTCCAGTGTACGCAATTACGATGAAGTCGATTTCTGAGATATCTTGTATAAGTGAAGGACAAATATTATAAAAATATCGATAAGTTGATGCATACTTAATATTCCTAGCATGAAACATCTTTCTGTCTATAATTTTGATAGAATGCTACTTTGTACCTGCCGTAATCAGACGATTTGAATGCACATCGCGCATCTGTTCTTAATCGATTTATAGCTTTTGAAGAAGAAACGCGTATCTCTTCCGCCACACTTGTGTGTTGTCAATTTTTTTTCAAATTCTAGATCTAACTCGTCGAGTTTGTATCATACATTTCATATTCATGAAGTCACGAACCATAATTAAGTGCGAATGTTACAGTTGTTGTCGACTGAGTAATAAAAAATTTTTCTCGAGTTTTTATTATAATTTTTCAGAAAAGTTGCAAGGATATCGATAATCAGCGTCGGACTTTATAGCCGGAAAATGATTTGATTAGGGATTTTTTACAGATTCTCATGGCTAACGCATTATCGCACAATTGACTACTTAATTGTAAGTTACGTGCATTAACGTGGCGCTGATGGCATTACAAATGTTCTCTTAGATAACAATTACAACCCTTCGCATATTATTAATATTAGTGAATTTGCAAGTGTTCTTCAAAAGTAATTTAATATTTTTAAGTATGACACTTGTAACTTTTTTCAATTTCAAATCTAATTAATCTTAATTTTAATCTCGACATCTTTTAATTAAACCAGAAGTGGAATAGATCTTACTTTCAGGATTTCTTGGTTTTTGTTTTAATTTATGAATTTTTGTGGAATCCAATAAATATATTTACTCAAGTTCACATTAATATAAAATAAGGTTGCATGATGCTTGTAAAAAAGCTTTGCAATTAAATTCGAATTTTATATTTGATTTGCATTACATCGATGTGTATCGATGTGAAAATGAAGTTTTCGTGCGCTTATTAACATCAAATTACAACTACCAAAGATGTGATTATAACATTGTTTTTCTTCGCAGATTCAAAAGAACGAGCATGCGGAGAACAGGTTGATTATAAGCAGTCATCGATCGAAAGGCACATTTTTCGGTACCGATATTCTCGCTGCTTTTTCTATTTATTCTTATTCACATTCTGATCGGAATGAAATTAGCATGCGACAAAGGAGATATAATAAACAATATTTTTATGATACAAAGACAGACAGATGTAAGAGCAATGCTGTTAATTTAATTATAAAAGGTCTAAACGTAACATTATATTTTATTTTTTTACAATTACATTGACTTTTGGAATAAATGAATAAAATTGGTTTAGTAAGATTTGAATTATAAAAACATATTTTATCTATTATTTTTAAAATGTATATGTAAATATGTAAGATAAAAAATGTACCCTTCTATTTTATGTGTTATTTTAAAATATATTCAACATATGCGCGTATTATATAAAAGAATGTTAACTTATAAAATTGAGTATCGATATATATATAAATCGAAACTTCTTTTATTTTACGACAAAATATTGGATTTCACATAAAATAAAAGAAGTAAAATAAAAGAAGTTTC